TTTTTTTGCTAAATCGATAGCCAAATTTTCTATTCGATCAATATATTTACAACCTTGATAATAACGATTTTTAGGATAACCTTCCGCATATTTACTCATTAACAAAGAGCCACTATAAAATAAAACCTGCGAGGAGGGATAATTTTCACTGGCGATTAGGTTGAGAGTTTTTTTTTGCCGCTTTAATTCTTGCTGGTAATAATAATTAAGGGGAGATTTACTTTTCATTGATTTATAATATTTTACAGGATTGTGGTTTAGCTTTAGTTATTAACGAGAAGCAAAAACAAGATTAAGGAAATATCACCAAGAACGCAAAAATAAAGTATATATAATAAAAAAATTAAACAGCAATAATATGTCAAAGAATTATTACCAAATATTAGGAGTTAGCCCGGGTGCTACTCCAAAAGAAATAACCAGTGCTTACCGAAAATTGGCCTTGGTACACCATCCCGATAAAGGCGGTTCCAACGAAAAGTTTCAAGAAATAAACGAAGCATATGAAAATTTGATGAAAGAAGTATCAAAATCCAAACCCAGAAGGGAATTTAAATTTACGCCCGGCGCTGATCACTTTAAGGAATTTGAGGAATTTTTAAGAGAAATGGAAAGAGACTTGAATGACATAGGAGAAGATTTGAATGACAGGCAAAAAGCGTTGGCAGAGGAGGCCATACAGAACACGCAACAAAAGTTCGACATTTTTGGAGTTTCGCCCCAAGATTTAGACCCTAATTTATGAAGTCCTTATAGTGATTGGAAAGAAAAGTTTAGAAAGTCAAGTGGTGATGATTTCACGGCATTTCTAATCAAAATGAGTAGTGCGATTGAGGAAGCGAGAAGAAAAAAAGGAGAAAATTTTAGCAGTGGTTCTCATAATTCATACAACAACCAACGAGAAAATTTCGATAATAAGCGGTCGAATTTTACTCCGAATAATGGCAAATGAAACGAAGAGGGGAAACCTTTTTCAACCAGCGGTGATAGAATTGCACAATTAGAAGCCGAAATTAAATATCACGAAGAATACATGCTTAAAACTTCTTGCGAAGAAGAAAAACAAAAGTGCCGAAAAATAATTGATAATGCGAAAAAGGAGTTAGCAATATTAAGAAATCAATCCAGTTCCAATTCCGATAATGATAATTCTAATAATCAAAACTCTGGCGATTCCCAACAAAACAATAATAATAAAAATAAAGATGACAAAGAAAAAGATGAAAAAATTAGTCAACTAGAAACCGAAATCCAAAACTTAAAAAACCAAAATTC